CCAAAAACCGTAAATAGAAGACCAGATTGATTTTATCCACATGAGAGTTTTGGAAATTTTTAATGCAAGTCTTATGTTTTGTTGAGGAAACGTTTCCTGAAGGATTTCAATCACAAGTAAACCTCGTGATTTGACACAATTTGCATAATTTGAGTTTACAGTTATAAACAAAACGAACCAATTAAAAGTTTGCGATTGCATGGCTAACAAGGTACTTTAACTGCTCGAATGACTCCATTACAAAATGCATAGCAGTCATACTTCCTGTTGATTTGTCGTTAGAGTTTTTGGGTGCAAGTTAAAAAAATCATGTCGATTGAAAACTTTTAATTTAATCAATCCATCCCTTAGCTTAAGTATATAGTTTTAATTTTAACTAATTTAAAAATATTTTTCATTTATATTGAATAAGTTATAATTTTATAAATAAAACTGTAATTCCATTATCAAACATTTTACTATACCTGTGTTTGTTGTACAAAAATAATAAAATATGTATACCAAAACTTCCCTTATATTAATTTATACTTTTTAGGGAGAAGAGGGAAATATGTTTACACACACATGGATAAGGTCGAGTTTGTTTACACGGAGAATACCCTGTGTGACACACAGGTCCGAGTGTAGGAGTTTTGCCAACGGGTATTCAGGTAGGAAGGTCCCCATCCGTGAATTCCTCATTATGCGGAGTTTTGCCATCGGTTGTGGGTTGCGCGAGAGGGGGAGGGAGAGAGAGAGAGATTACACGTGACCATGAGGGTGGCTTCCGCTAGGGGTGGACAAACCAGGCAGGATGCTGACTGTGTTCAAAGTATGTAATGCAGTTATGCACCTCTGACTGTGAAAGGAAATGTATTGAATTTTTAACCTAACCTAACCTAACCTAACCTAACCTAACCTAACCCACTGCGACAAACGCATAACTGCCAAGCGTAGACAACCCTGACAATCGCTCTCCCTCCCTCCCTCACACTCTTTCTCCCACCCCCACCGTTGGCAAATCTCCGCACCAAGAGGTGGCCGAAGGCATCCCCCCATCTACCTGACACCCGTTGGCAAAACTCCGGTTCCCCACAGGTCCAATGTATTGGGGTGTCCAGTGTACTACAAAACATTACTAAGCCTCTAGGAGGGACCTTAACGAACACACACTTATACTTCCATTCCATTTCGTTTTGTCATGAGAGCCGAAGCCCCCTGACTGCATACCCGGTACCTATCCTTTAGGACATACCCGGGCCCCATGATGTAGGCCGAAACTTACGCATAAACCTTTAGCACATCATGGGCGGATGACTTAAGGTCATCAGGCTCGCCGGCTGCCGAAGCAGACCCTTCGGAAGGAGGGTTGCCCCTCAATCCTAACCAGGGATTCCGGCTGCTTGTTTAGGCGTCACCCCACCTGGGTTCCACTAGGTCGAGACCTAGAGGTCCATGGTAGAGCGCCCCGACGCATTTAGTGCAAGCAACACTCGGGACCTATCTAATCCCTGACAGGCAGAACCCGCCATCAATAGCCAGGAGGAAGGGGACCGTCAGCACGCTGAGGTTTATGTAATATTACTAACTCTATTAAAATAGCTAATGAAGCTGTCAACCTCAGTATAGTATAATTATTTTATGTTTACGACTGTAGAATAGCCTCATGTTATTGAAACATTAGTATTGACATTTTGTAAATAATTATACTAATGAGGGGTTTCTATTACAACCCTAACTTTATAATAATGATTAGGCATACACAATAATCAATATAGTTTCAAAATAATAAGTGTTAATTTTATGATTCATATTATATTATTTTCCTTTTACAGTTCCGTAATCAGCTGAAGGTTATCTCATGATAAAAACGTGACATAAGTAAAAGTTTGAAATAAGTTTTTACGCTAAATCTACCATAAATATTTTATTTTACATTTGGTCGTGGATAAAAACTCTGGCGTCACAAGCATACTGTATATCATCAAGGATAAATGATTGTCCCATTCATCAAAATGTTTTGAACACTTGCAAATTGGAAAACAATATTTCCAGGGACTATCAATTTTACGTGCTATGGATGATGTTGATTATGTATTTTCACATGTTAATAGCAAATTAATATTAATATCAGTATAATTGTCATATAGGTCAATCCAATACTCCTGTTTAAGGTAAATATATAATTTACAAAAAACAAATATCCCCGCAGATAACTAAAGGGCTTACAGGGGCCCAAAGGTAAGTCCCCTTTTACTATTCGTCCCTCTAATAGACAATAAGCTTTCATAATACACATCAAAAGTAAAAATCTGTAAAGTAGGAAGTATTAAAAGGGAATATTACGGAGGAAACCATTATTGAGAAACAGTGGTGTATCTAGGGGGGCTACTCCCACAACCCCCAGTGTGACCCCCCCCCCCCCTTAGGGTCATCATCTGTTTACGCCTGTGTTAGGATACATACGTTCATCATAATAACTAGATATGTAGGAAGTAGTAGGAGTGCTCACTAGCATCAGCTCACCGTTGACCGTTGATATGATAATTCCGAACATAAAAAATAATCCAGCTTAGACAAATTGACACAACCGTGCCTTGACTTTTAGTAACACCACTATGTCGTTAAGCGGCTTAGGGGTTTCTTGAGAGTATGTATCAACACAAGGGAGACAAATAGGAAAACATGGACTGTTTGTTTCTTCAAAATACATGAGTTGTTTTAAGTGAGTTTTCTTTTACTGCAAGTTAGAAGTTTGATAATTTAAATAGTTTTTTTTAATTTTAACAGTTTTTAGTACCTAATTTATTATGACAGTGGCGTGTGTCGTGTAATCAAATTGAATACAGTTGAAGGGTAAAGGTAGCATGGAAAAAAGTGAATTGCAGTTTTTTTATGTTTGGGTTATTTATCAAAAGAACAATAATGAAGGGTGGCTAGGTCCAGTCTAACTATATGATTTACAATGTATTATAGCAATGAAGAGTTACTGTAAAAGTATTGTTTTTTAATAATATATAGGTAATTTTAACAGGGTCATTCGCCATTCAGCACAACCGGTGCTATTCAACTTATAATCTTTGTTTCCTTACAATGGGTCTAATGGCTTGCACGTCGTTAAGGGTTCTTGAAAGTTAGATGCTTGGAGGTAAACTCAGAAAATTATGTTTCCTTTATCTATTATTTCCATAATTATTTGGTTTTGTTCTTCCAGATGATTGCCAATGCAAGCGATTTCAGCTCAAAGTGTTAATCATGCTGTCCAGAAACAAGCCGTTTTTAGTTCTCTAAACCGTCAGGAAAATCATATTTTTTAGGTAACTTGAAATAGGGAACAGAAAAAAATATATGGCAAATTTTTTAGTTCGTTAGCAATCGTTAAAATCTATAAACACGATTGCGTACCAAAAAGAGCTACTTTCGCTCCTGGTGATGAAAACTGCTTCCTTTACCTAATAATATGGATGACCACAAAACATGTCATACAAGAAGAAATAGTTTTTAGTAAATCCCTTACTAGCTATAATTCACTCTTTGTGACAATGAACAAATTATTAAGCTTTTAATTATTCGTCACAAAATTACTTTGGCAATAAAGTTTAAATGGTTGTGGAAGTATTTATGTCTCAAAATGAAAATCCATTTTTCATTTGACACCTTCAAACGATGTTCGGTTATTCAAGAAGAATGTCATTATTGCCTTGCGTCTGAGACAGTTCAGAAATTCTCCTAGTTCCAATCCACTTAGGTGAAAACAATAATCTTTAATGAAATTTCTTGACGTTAAAAGAAGCCCCCTACGTAAATTCTAAACTCTAACTATTTTATTTTCCGTGACGATGCGCTGATTTGTTTACCATATAAAATAAATACATGTATGAATTGGCCACTAAATAGTCACACCATTTTTACTTTTCTATGTACTCTTAAATGGATTTAAAAGTTCTAGAGGTCGTCAAGTGGACCAAAACTCGACCCAAAAATATGTAATGTAAATATTTCTCTATTTCACCTCAAGCTGTAAAAATAAAACATGAATTAAATTCCATTTTGTAGCCCCTGAACTGCTTAGTATAAACTAAATTAAAATTAAAACATACCTCGTCTTGCAGTTCAAATAAATAGTGTCTTTTTCAATCCACTACATGTTTCGCCATGTTGGCATTTTCAAGTGGTTTACACAGAAACATTGAGACTTGAAACATTATAATATCCGAATTGGACTCGTAAAATTGTAGAAATTTACAAATAAACACAAAACTGTACATACATTTGACACGTACGAACGAAACATTATTATGTAGGCCTACAACACATTGCAACCCGATCACGGCACTGACTGAGACCAAATCTCAGTCAGTGCCGTGATCGGGTTGCAATGTGTTGTAGGCCTACATAAATATGTTTCGTTCGTACGTGTCAAATGTATGTACAGTTTTGTGTTTATTTGTAAATTTATACAATTTGACGAGTCCAATTCGGATATTATAATGTTTCAAGTCTCAATGTTTCTGTGTAAACCACTTGAAAATGCCAACATGGCGAAACATGTAGTGGATTGAAAAAGACACTATTTATTTGAACTGCAAGACGAGGTATGTTTTAATTTTAATTTAGTTTAAAACATGAGTTTGTAATTTAATATATTTTTTTTATTTTCTGTGTATATTTTGTTGTTATTTCATCACCACCATGGCAACCCATAAGGCCCATGTTATTTTTGATTTATTTATAATAATTTTTTGTGCTTATTGTTGGGCCTATTTTACAATTTATGAAGGCATTCTGCACATCTACAGTAAAATATCATCCTAACAGTATGTATAGATTTTCCCCACGATGCACACTAGCTGAGAAAAAAGGTTTTCAAGAAACATGCTTGCCTATTAATATATAGATTCTTTATCCAAAATTTAATTTAATTTTTTAACCGGTTTTAATACACGATATGTTTTACTGCACTTAAATATATATTCTTTTCTCATAAAAAGGGGATATTTAAGCAAACATAGTAATCACTAATACATTTATTGAAAACACGTAATAATCTTATACAAAATATTCAAAGGCACGAGGTGAAAGTTATAAACTAAAGTTTTGACGAATTACTTCTTGCAATCTCACACAATTTGATATTGAATAAAAATAAATAAGACTTACTTATTTGGTCACATACCATCTGGAAAACAGTAAAAAGGTAAGAAAGTATGTAAAAAATTCTTATGTACTTAAAAACTAACATAATTTTAAAACCATAATTTCTTACGCCTTTAGATAAATATACCGGTAAATAAAGTTTCTTGACATAAACGTTTTCTTAAGATTTTTGAAAAAAAATATTGATTTTAATAAACATTTATTATTTTATAACTATATTCTTCTCCACTAACATTAGAGGTACCCCTTTGTTTTTAAATGAATAATCCTAACAAAGGGAGAATATTAACAGATTTATAAAACAAATTTTTTACATCGGTACAAGCTTAACATATTATGTGGGTACTCAACGACCGGCAAAAATGTGATAGCGCGTCGTAAGCCAGTCTTAAAACTGATCAAGACTATAGTAATTTTAACGTGAGTTTTTGCACTGACATGATGATGTCCTATGATTTTGCCAAAGAGGTAGTTGTCTATATTTAGTTAAGTGTAGTTAGAGTCTATCGTGATAATATTTTAAGTTACTTTGGTACAAGACGTTTGGCCAACTAGAAGGAAACATCTGACTGTAATCACATGGTTTGGGATTCTTCGTAACCTGAAGCTACGTTGGTACGGAAGGATTGGTCAGTTAAGTAGACGTATGTCTGTAATTGGATATAGTTAGGGCCTGGCTTGATAGTTCATGAAGTTACGTTGGTTCAGAAGGTTTTGCCAGTTAAGTAGACGTATGTCTGTAATTGGACATAGTTAGGGTCTTGCTTGATAGTTCATGAAGTTACGTTGGTTCAGAAGGTTTGGTCAGTTAAGTAGGCGTATGTCTGTAATTGGATATAGGTAAGATCTGGCTTGATAGTTCATGAAGTTACGTTGGTTCAGAAGGTTTTGTCAGTTAAGTAAACGTATGTCTGTAATTGGACATAGTTAGGGTCTTGCTTGATAGTTCATGAAGTTACGTTGGTTCAGCATGTTTGGTCAGTAGATGTATGTCTGTAATTGGATATAGTTAAGGTATGGCTTGATAGTTCATGAAGTTACGTTGGTTCAGAAGGTTTGGTCAGTTAAGTAAACGTATATCTGTAATTGGATATAGTTAAGGACTGGCTTGATAGTTCATGAAGTTACGTTGGTTCAGAAGGTCTTGTCAGTTAAGTAAACGTATGTCTGTAATTGTATATAGTTAAGGTCTGGCTTGATAGTTCATGACGTTACGTGGTTCAGAAGGTTTGGTCAGTTAAGTAGGCGTATGTCTGTAATTGGATATAGGTAAGATCTGGCTTGATAGTTCATGAAGTTACGTTGGTTCAGAAGGTTTTGTCAGTTAAGTAAAAGTATGTCTGTAATTGGATATAGTTAAGGACTGGCTTGATAGTTCATGAAGTTACGTTTGCTCAGAAGGTTTTGTCAGTTAAGTAGACGTATGTCTGTAATTGGATATAGTTAAGGTCTGGCTTGGTAGTTCATGAAGTTACGTTGGTTCAGCATGTTTGGTCAGTAGATGTATGTCTGTAATTGGGTATAGTGAAGGTCTGGCTTGGTAGTTCATGAAGTTACGTTGGTTCTGAATGTTTGGTCAGTAGATGTATGTCTGTATTTGGGTATAGTAAAGGTTTGGCTTAATAGTTCATTTAGCTACGTTGGTTCAGAATGTTTGTTCAGTTAAGTAGACGTATGTCTGTAATTAGACATAGTTAAGGTCTAGCTTGATAGTTTATGAAGTTACGTTGGTCCAGAAGGATTGACAAACAACGTAAATGCTCGTGTGTAGTAGTTAGATGTAGTTAGTGTATGTAAAAGGGTGGATGCCTAGAGAATGTCAAACTACAGTGACTCTCATTGTATGCTCCTGCACTGACAAGGTAGTGTCCGAAGTTACATCAGTAGATGACGTCCCATCAGTAGCCACTGGGGTAGAAAGTGGCGTTTCCTTTGGAACAGCTGTCAGCAAGCTGTAATAAACTTGTTATATATAATACATGCACTTAAAATATATCAGTAAATTCAATATATTAGACATTAGACACATTGTCCTGCTTTTTTTTTTAATTTTCTCACGTAAGAGATTCTAGGAGAATAGATTCTGCGAAGCTGTTCGATTCAATCGGGTTCATCCCTTAGGGCGAACAAAATTGCCTTGTTTCTGCAAATAAGGAAAGCAAATACGAAAATATTCATTTGGCTCTTTCAGCCTTTTTACATCTAGTTCACTGATTCGTAATTTATATATGTTTACTAAGTTTATCTTTTACTTATGTTTAAAAATTAATTTTAATTAACCAATTAAAGCTCTATATTATTTTTTTTACTATAAAGGATTCATGACATCCTTACATGAACCACAACACATTGGATAGAAAACAGCATTTGCATTTATGTGTCATGATTTTCACTAATATCATCTACATTTCATATAAATATAAATCAAACTTTAAGTTGAAATAAAGTTAAACTGACTATGCCAATTTATTATTAATTGTTTGGTGATTCGAATTTTATAAACAAAATATTTACTAATGATAGGTGGGCTGTATTAAAACTAAAGCATTGATCTTCTTCCACACTTTAATATATTGGTAATGTTTTTGTCTTCCTTTTTGTAAACATATGTTGCTCTATTTTATACAAACCTTTTAATTGGTGATTCAGGAACTATAGTTGGAGGAGGTTTTCCATGTTTGTCTACATCGCCAACTTTGTAGCTAAAATGAAATACTCGCAATTAGTGTAGTTCCCCCCAAACATTTGTCAAGACCCTTTTTACAATATATTTGGAAATACATCTCAATAAATAACCATAACAATACTAGATTGGTTTCATGGTCATGCAATTTAAGATCGGTTGGTGCAGACCTGAAATATTATCCGCTGTCGTAAACAATTCTTAAAACAAACAACAAATAAACTTTCTAGATATTGACATGATTGAAAATAAGTGTTAAACACTATGTAGGCTATCTTTGGTTATCTATCTTAGACAGAATAAATACATGATTTAGGAATAAAATCTGCACTCATATTTCACATTCACCAACATGTTGTGTTGTAATTAATAAATTTTCTTGTGAGAAGATGCAAAGTAGATTCCCTTTGGCGCGGTTCTTCAAAGCTTGTATGTTTGCCTGTGACATGAGCGTAATTAATTATACTCCTTGCTTTAGAAGATTTCGGTATTAACATTTATCAAATAGGTTTAAAATAATTAATGCAACATTTTATTCTGAAAATACTTGGTAATGCATGAGTGTATGATTTGAAACATCCGACTTATTTTTCTTTGTTTATTTCGTTCTTTTTTATTGTTCTTAATTGTTATTAGGAACATGAAATTATTTATAATCTTTTGTAGGCCTTTAAAATATATTTCCTCATTTACTTATATTATATCTTGTACTTTTAATATATGTATATTATAATTATGACTATGTAGCGTTTCCTGTACAGGGTAACTATTGTTCCTTTTTAACCCAATTTGTTATTTAAAATAACCCATTTATTGTAAATATACCTTATGTGGTAAAAATACACTTGTAAAAAGATTTTTAGTACAGATCATCAAGATTTGAAAAAACTTTATAAGAAAATGTACTGTTTGAATCTAGAAAATTAATACAAATCAACGAGAATTTCTTTGTTTCTAAATCAACATCGTACCAAAATAAATATTAATTATTCTCATCAATACATATACAAATAAACTTACAAACCACACACTAAAACTTAATGTATTGGTATGAAATAATGTGGAAATCATACTAAGCCACATGTCTAATGTATATTTTAAAAACAGTACATTTTTTAATACTTCAAAACAAAATAAGAAAAACTATTTTTGCAGCTAAGAATGTTATGGAAATAGCAGAAATATATAGTTACATTAAAAAAGGGTTTTGCTCATGAATCGTAAAGATAAGGTAGAAAAGGCTACCGCTTGAGGGCTTAAAGGCTACAGGCTTACCTAGGACAACAACCAATTAAAGTTCCACCGAATTCTTCACCGTCTTCAAGTGTCTGGGGCAGATGACGATGTAGCGTCTCTGGTAACAGAAGACTTATCAGTCCTCCAGAGACGAGGAGAGCTCCCATGATCAGAAGAGGCAGAATCAGCATTTCCGACCCCTGTGCCGATAATGTTTATATAGAGCATACTTAAAATTTATAGCACCCAAATCTTATAATATATAATTTTGAAAATGTTAAACTTAATTCTCTTGATAAAATTTTAAGTATCTGCTTAGTTAGTGATCAAAAATTATATGTACAATTTAACATGTAGCACATATGTTAAATTTGTTTACATTTCTGCGGAATATTTTAAAACTAGTTTAGATTTCCGTCTTTCCCACATCCCACCGAAAACACTGTGTGATGTTTCGTTATAGTGGTTGTAGCGTTTCTATCATTTTTAACACTACCAGAAACAAGGAAAGCTCGTTTATAACAGATGCTGGTGAACAATTCATATAGCAATACCATTGGCGGGATGTGCCTTACTCCCTTATACGAGTACTCGTATATGCTGTAAAATAACCATGATTAGATGTTTTTTACGTTGATTTTGTCCGGTTGTACTGTGACCTCCTCTCTGGGTGTAAGTCGACGATTCCGGTGGTTCTGGTCCTAAGATCAACTATCTACGATCTTCAACCAAATTGTGGTCCGGAGAAGTTGTGTACAGTGTTACTGTGACCATAGTATCATAGTATTGTCATAGTTAGTACAATATAAATTTACTATGTTTGTGTTTAACGTTTTCAACCTCAATGTAAGAACCGTGATAATGTTAACAAAGAACAGAGAGATAATCTTGACAATTGTGTTGATTCTCAACAGTAATCCACTAGTAGACAGGATTACATAAACACATCAAGAACCCATGTAAAATAATCTTTGAAAGCCTAACGCAAATCAAGACTACACAGGAAATATGTTAAAATATATGCATTGTAAATCACCCTTATCAAACTATTAGAGGAATGGTGTCGATGCACGGACTTACGAGGTAGTTGACGATGGGTATGAGTACTGGCCCCACCATCCCCGCTACACTGCTAAAACTCATTCCCAACCCTCTGACTACTGTGGGGTAGAGCTCTGATGCCACCAGGGGTAGCACCACATAGGAGGATGAAATACCCATCTTGCCCACACAATACAGGGCTAGAGTCCATGTTGGACCTGTAAGTGTTTAGTAACACATGAATAACACATACCTCACATTACTCCTATCGTCATTATATTGTAAAGTTTAGTTTACTTTAGGAAATTTTCAGGTTTTAGAGTGTTGTACCGGTACATGTTTTTGAGGAGAAAATGTTTAGTTACACAATTGATAGTACACACACAGGGAAACCTACCCTCAAGAAGCTAATTGTTTAGAGATGATGACGTGTAGATGAGTGTCAAATCAAATAAGTGTTAATTGACTATTTCGATAACATTTTTTAAACAAAATTAAGCTGTTATTCTGGCTAAAATAATACTTTGACTCCTAATAGTCGTGGTTCATTGTTTAAGCTCAACTACCAACCCCCGTGTTACAAGGCGATGGCCGTTAGTAAAATATCCGAACTATATAATTACTTTCAAGTTTCATCAAAACTATACTTATAGTATAATACCATTTTACACACATGTTTATCGTTTAGTTAGTACTAAGACAAAACAATTAAATATAATATTAATGCAACACGTATATTTTAATCATATTGTCTATAGTCTATAGTACGTCTAAACCCGAATTAACTGTTTCAAATGCAACAGAAATATCTAACTAACTTTAACCATATGATACAAATAGTCCACAGATACGTTATGATTAACTTCAGGAGGGCAAATTAGCATATTTGACTGTATGAAAGGGGTTTGCTGGAGCGTAAACATTATCAGATTTGACTTACATACCCTGTGTAAATTCCAGTTCATAGACCAGGGGTTGAAGTGCATAAAGCGTATGATGTGTGATATGTAGGGTTATTGCTTTTTTATCAAAATTCGTTATTTGTGAGGTCTAGATGAGTTTACATATTATGACGGATAGTGTATAATAGATTATACAAATAATTAATGCGAACAGCTGGTATACTTTGCAATAAAAACAATTATTTAGTCAGGTTAATAACCTGACAAAACAATTTTGTGACAAACTAAATTAAAATAAGTTATTAATCTGGTATAACTGGAGCAGCGGGCTTGGTTTTCCACACTATTGGGACAAATTCAGTCAACTGGTTTTATTAATCATCGCTCACAATAATGTTTTATGATGTACTTACCTTTACTCTATACGTCTCAAGTGTTGAAAAAAAGCGTTAAAAAGTCTCCTGAAGGGACAAATCACAATAAACTGTGAATAAAACGTCAATAGCAAACGAGTATGTCTTTATTTTGCGTTTTTAAAGCATTGGAACTTGTTAAATGTAGACAGATATCAAAATAGCAAAGGTCATGGGCGTTCTGTTAGTTAGCATCTCAAATACGATGTAAAAAGAACGAGTATCTGGCATATTCAATATTATTTTTATAGGTTGTAACTGCATTGTGATTCTTCGATAAAAAATGCAACTGTTGGAGACACGCCAGCTAGACAAACTTGAATTGGGTAGAAATATGCCAGATAAGTAGTACCATGTTGAGCGATTCACGACACTAGAATAAACAAAACATTTACGCATGTTGTGCTTAGGAAATATAAGCTAAATTTCTTAGTAAATAATTAGATGCTGATTTATTTAACCGAATCTACTACAGCTACTACTTACTCTGCTGAACCAGTAGAGTCCCAAGGCAGGCTAGACCTCCTATAACCATGCTTACACACAAGGTCCATCGTCGACCAGCGCATTCCATGGCTGGCCACAGCACTATGTATGTAGGCAGTTCTACAGCACCGGCCAAGAAGAAGTTGAGGAACTCGTCACCACCCAGAGCTGGTGCGTAGTAGGAAAGGCCAACATATACCGAGGTGTTTGTAAACCTACACAATTGAATTACATAATTTATATTTGGTAAGTGTAAAAAAGATTACGTTCAAAAATATGTAAGAGTTCTTAGTTTTTCTTTCTTCTCATCTAGTAGCTGATGGTTATCATTCCGATACAGTTTCTGCTACGAGAATCAAATTCCTAGTGAAAGAACCCAGATTTTAACAGAGCTGGACTTATGTGTTATATAACATGAATGGACAGTAGAGAATCATACTGGAACCTTTTTACGATTAGATGCATGAATAATACGTTCTACGTCCAAACGAAAAAAAAAATGAATGGAAGAGATCACAAAGAAGCTTTATTTTCCCTAATTTTTTAATCTTCTTTAATTAATTTGTGTTTTTTTAATCCATTTCCATATATTTTATTTTGTTATGTATTTGCTTAGTTTAGTAAATCATATATCATCTAAGGCATTCTGTTGAACAGTTTGTACTGTAAACGAAAATAAAGACATTTTGATTTTATCAAGGCATTCCTAGTCCAACTCAAAACAAAGGGGACGTCAGATGATACCTCTCCCCAAAACATAACCTAAAAAACCTAGAGTCAGTCGAATAACAGTTGTTGCCCCTTTTCACAATTTCTTTACACTCTTTCAGCTTCTAATACATTTATGCAATCTAAACAACTCAATTATATACAAGTATTTTATAAAATTGCCAAAGACTCTTTAGCAACTGACATAAATAGAAGTGATTGCGGATTATTTATTATACTGTATATAACTAACGGAACAAGCAGGTCAAGAAAGATTTCCTACGCTGGCAACTACAAAAGCTTATTATCTGATGATTCCCGAGGCAAAGGGAGTGCTATGTTGTTTTCCAATGGTGAAGATAAAAGAGGGATCAACTTCACCACAGTACTGCTAGCTAGTGCAGAAGAGTGCGGTACACATATACACTAAGCCATGTGATGAATAGGCACGCACAAATTCAGTCAAGTGCCGCTTCAGTCACAAAGGCGAGCCAATGTTGACTGCATGAAATGATCCGACTGTTAGTATCAACGTCCAGCTCTCTCCGTGTTTGATTACTATTGAGAAATTGTTTGGTTTTTATTTCACAAACAACAGCTGATTATAATTTTCAACATCCTACATTTTTTTACCATATGAAGGTGATGATGAGAGTTTTCCTCCTGAGGTTTGGTGTTCTGAGAAGATCCATTACACCATATCTTCTATTATGATCCTTGTCGCTGTCTTTCTGTTGCATGTATCTTTCTACTTGATATTTTCTCTGAAACAAATTTAATATACAATAATATTGCAATGTAACGCATTCTGCCTTAAATAAAACTTAATTCCGTATGCACTTGGAACATTTTAAAGAACCAAATAATAATATATATTAGGTTACATTACCTTAATCATGGATCACTTGGCGATTAAGGTAATGTAACCTCATATATATTATATCTCAGTGATTTAGAAAAAAACAACATACAATATGAAACCAAATAATGTGGAACGTAAATGTTGTGATACATAAATACAAAATGATTAAATGCATAATGATAAAACATTTAGAAAATGGTTACACGCCGTATATATTTTAATTTAATAATTATTTATCACAATTTTTCAAGACATGCATGTCTGAATTACCTTAAGGTGGACCATATAATTGGCCGGGAGAGACTTCCCGTTAACTCTGACCATCTTTTTTAGTATCTTTTCCGCTTCCTCGAACCTTCCTCTCGCCAGGAGCCAGCGGGGGGACTCTGGCAGAACCCTTGTACATAGAAAGTGAACATATTTAACTTATTGTTATGGTTGGAACATGTCAAATAACAGGACCACTGATAAAACACTTTATGGCAAAACCATCCCCACGTAAGATAAAATACGCAAATTTAGTGTTTTATGATTGACAAAACAAGAAAATACTACATTTGGTTACGAAAAGCTTAAATTTATACAATAACTAAAGACCAGGAAAGACAACGTGACCTAAGTAACTGAACTTTAAGTAAAGATAACAGTTTGAATGGTCATAAAAAACAAAATCTTTAGTTGACATCTTAAATGTAATATTACTTAACACTATTATTACCTACATTACAAGTTTTAGTTTAGATAAAAAGAAAGAATAGCTATTTAAATTTTGTATCGTCATTTTATCTAACAGTGGTCTGCAAATGGATCCACGTAGATTCATTAATCATACTTATATTCTTTTGTTGTTTCTAGCCTTAATTAATTCGGGTTCTCGTTCGGTTTTTATTTAAGGGAAAAGGAAGACTTATTTACAATTTCAAATGTGTATACTAATTTTATCGTATTTTGGAATATGACGCGTTATGTATGTATTTAAATCTGTTGTTTACTTGGTAACTATTTTTTTAACTGAAAGTAGAAAATGCGTCAAATAAAACTTGCAATAAATATATTTACACTTGTATCGTTTAATCACATGACGGTAAATACATATAAAAAGTTAAGTGGTGATCGATTTCGATTGGACACTCCAATCATCAGACCCAATAGTCATTCGCTTATTGGGTGCGAATTATAATGGGACTGAGTACAGTTGAATGTATTTCAGCGGAGAATGGGTTTTTTATGTTTACTTAAATTTAATTGTATAATTTAACTGTAAAATTTATGTTTAAAAGTGAAGAAACATTTTTCATTTGCAACGTTTTATCCAATTAAATGTTTGCAGAACAACGATGTGCCAAGTGATATACAGTGAACAAAGTTAATGTATTGGAAAGTGGGATGAAATAGAGGAATAGGGGCAGGAACATGAGAATGCGACAGATAGAAGATTAATTGACTTGTAGGGGATGATAGATGACAGGGTGTATCTGAGACCGCATGGCTGGGGGAGAATGAGTAAAACAGTCTCTTAATGTATCATATGATTGATGGGCTTTTTTAAACATACTTTTCGCTGCGACAAGAAAATATTTTTAAAATATAATAATCTCCTGGAATCACAGTTTTTGTGAGCATCAAAAACTTGAATGTAGCTAGAAATTGATCGGTATTTTATAAAAATTAGTTGGTAATATAACCACAATCTAATTTTTGCCGAACTTAAAACTTTAGACTTTAATACTTTTCTATATTACATTTACATACTAAAACTATATTCATACTAAAAAACCTGTAACCATACATATCTCAACCTTACACATCAACATTGGATTAAAATGACGATCCATTGCGAAAATATTGAATTGTCCAAGGTACCTGTATGTCAGCGATCCTAGTGTCGTCATGGCCGTGCCACGTCATAGTGTCCTGCACTGACGAGACCAGTTGTAAATATTCGTACAGCTATGTCGTCCCGTGTTTTCATATTCGTGGATACGTGTTTACAGACAACCTCAAATAAGGTAAAATGAAATTCGATGAAGCCTGACGATGGGATTTTAATCTCGAAACCGCCATAGCCGACATTATTTTATCACTGACGGACAGGTCCTAATCCTACAACTGATCCTGGGTCACTAAGAACCATGAAATTGTAACAGGTTGGTCATAGATGAAACCCCTTCTGGGAACATACATTACCATAGAATCTCCGGTACCGTTCATAAAAATGGTTACAGTAAATCTGTAGACACATCTGAAAGAGTTGGGAAACGTGTTATATTGTGTTCATGTACATATAAAAATACCAAAGGTAAAATACAAATACACGGTACGATAGAAACTATGGAAATAATGGAAAAATCTTACCACCAGTAGAGGAAGAATGATAGAAAAGGCACAGACGTGGCCAGAGCAAGCTGTCTCCAGTCTCTTATGAGATAAACTACAGCTGCTAAAGCTACTAGTCCTAGAGAGTAGGCTATGTTGGTGAGGATGGTACAAACAGTGCGATGCTTCGGTCCTACTAGCTCTATAGCTGTAACATAACAGTAACAATTAAACATTGACATGAGACAACAAAAACATTAGTCAACATGAGAGAAAGAATTAAAAAGTAGTAGAAATGAAATACTCGGTAATGGCACACAATGATCTGTAATGCAGCGTATGGAACGTACGTAAGATGTATTATATGTGTTCAATACGAATTTGAACGTTATTGTTGACTGTTGTCCATTAAAAATATAAACAGATACAATTTTATCATTTGCAAGGGGTGAAAAAATAATTAAGTGTTGGATGCCTTTTATCGCGTTTTTAAAGTTCATAAAGTGAAGGATAACTATTTTAATTTTAAGTAAAGTGGAATTCTAGGTGTATTGAGTGCACTTCGATTCGATTCGTAACGGAACTTTTTCTGTTTTTGAGTGAACGAAAATTTTTTTTACTTGCAAATTTGGATTCAGATCACTTGAAAACGGGAGAAGTTCCTTATCCTTTTGAAAAGTAGTGTTGTCAAAACATTTTGCGTAGAAAATACCCGTTATACCTGTTATTAATGAAAGAAATGCCTCTGCTATACTACCTATGGCATAGACTCATGCATACTATTTTAAATAATAAACGAAACACTTACGTGAAAGATATGTGGACAATGAGTTAATGTTTTGACATTTGTTAATTTCACCGACACATACGTATATAGGGTGAAAAATGACCTAGTCGTAATTCCTAATAAATGACCTAGTTGTAATTCATAATTTTAGTATCCCCCGTATTACATGTATATGTAAAACATGGTCTTCACCTTGAAAAGTCATATAATATCTTTGTTCTGATACGTATAAATTTACGCTTTATAATACGAGCAACGTTTGTGCACAATGATTTCGTTTCAGGCTAAAAACAATATCCATAATACAATATCCACAATATCAACAATATCCCACTGATCTGGGAAAATTGAATTAAATGAAATTTTAATATGTAAACATTGGTCTTATGGAATGATAGGTAGCCATGACAGTTTTACGTTAATATAAATAAACTAGCTGACCCGGCGAACTTCGTATCGCCTAAGTTATAGGTTTCCCCTAAGACAGACCGATGGAAAGAAAGTACCGTTACGTTTAATTTTCAAGATGATCTCGTTCGCATCGCTCAATCACGTCCTGGTTGAAGTTCGTTCGCTACGCTCACTCACCTTTGGGTTGTAGCTCGTTCGCTACGCTCACTCACCTTTAGGTTGGAGCTCGTTCGCTGCGCTCACTTGCCTTCAGGTTAGCTCGTTCGCTACGCTAACTCGCCTCCAGGATAAAGTTCGTTCGCTACGCTCACTCACCTTTGGGTTGGAGCTCGTTCGCTACGCTCTTCACCTTTAGGTTGGAGCTCGTTCGCTGCGCTCACTTGCCTTCAGGTTAGCTCGTTCGCTACGCTAACTCGCCTCCAGGTTGAAGTTCGTTCGCTACGCTCACTCACCTTTTGGTTGCAAATTAGCTGTTGTCATAAATGTAAAAGAAATAATAGTGCTGCACCCTGTTGGTAATCCTTGTAACTTTAATGCTATTGAACATCATAGAACAGAACCAACTTGTTTAATTGAAACAGCTGTTAAGATTCATTAATTCCATTTCTCATAAGGTTAACATGGGAAACTCCAGAGCCACTGGGGCGGAGCCCTTTTAAGAATTTCGAAACGGGAAATAGTTTACGTCCGATTCGCATACCTACAGAATTTACACACCAAATTTCATAACGATCGGTGAAGTCGTTCCGGAGGAGTTTGCAGACAAACACTGTGACACGAGAATTTTATATATTAGATTGATCGCAATGTTTATAAGAAACCACCTACAGTAGAGTGGCAAATAACTAAATACAGTACAAAAGAAAATTACATTCCCTTAAAAACCATTTAGCATTGGTTATTTAATACACTTGGGGTGTTTATTAGGCAATGGGATAATTACGAAAGTTCAAAATCGTAGAATATTTACCACAAAAGATTATACACTAATGCTGAACAAAGAGTATTTAGTAGAAACCCGAAGGACGTTCTGTAGTTTCAACCATAAATATATGCATCATTAACATTTATTTGTTGATCCGAAAATAAATATGCTTGTATTATTATTTCAATGCAACTGTCAAAAAAACTTCTTAACTCAAGTAGAGATTATTAATATTAGATCCATCCAATTACGCCATTCTTTTATGTGTTTGATCTATGCCGAGGACGATCCAATTGTTGCGACGTTTCTCGATCCAATGACTTGTCGCAACCAGAGAGTACATAATATTCGCAACTCGCAACAATGCTGGTCAACAGCTGATATGTTATCACTATTTTTTTATTGTACTTTATTGTAGACATTTTCAATATTGATTATTTGTCTGTATGGAAATGATTGTTTAAAGAGCATAAAATAAGCATGAGTACCAGACCGTAGATGTTATGGCTTTGTTTCGCAAACCCTTAAATTAACCTTTGAAACTACATACTATACTACAGAAAACCACATCCTAGAGCATTCGGAGTGTTCATTTGCAGTTTTACTAACTATTTTGCCGTCTTTCTATGAGTAGTATGAGTAGTATGTACTCAGTAGTATGAAAGTAGAGTATGAAATCAGTAGAATTAATTAGCTTTTAACAAAAATAACATTTTCTTAGGCCTAGCACAAAACTGTACGAAATACATATCAATTATATCAAGTATATCAATTAATTGGTAGAGGAAACGCGATGTGAAATATATTCCAATGAACTATTAAATATGACATTAACCTTTATAATACTGTATCAAGTCTTATGCCTTAACAATGGATCAGATTTAAAAAATAACAATATAATGATACCTCTATTTTTAGATAGAGCATTTTTATTTTGGTAATTAGTTACTGTGTCAGTAATGCGAATTTATTTAGGCCTACGATGCTTTTAAACGACTCGAGACCACAGTATCGTGCAAAAAAATTTTGCAAATAGCACCAATACGTGATTATGAGAAAATCTAATTATATAAGTTTTGTATTACATATTTTACATTGTATTTCATAATATCATTGCAATTTTATGTTGGTCTATGTGCATTTTTTAACGTTACATACAAACTAAACACCACGAGCAATTCTGGGTCGCCTGGTAATACATTATAATATATGCTATAGATTTATTATTTACTAGACATTTTGTCATTAAATCTCGTGTAAATATTGTTCACATTTTAGTGTTTCAACTTTCTCCATGAAGTGAGCTTGAATATGATTAATATTTGTTGGTTAATGGGAATAACTAGGTGACGGAAACGGTAAGTGAGGGACAATACATGAGGGAGCCCAGTATATTGGACCTTCAGTTTAATTAAGACCCGCAGTGCAGAGCATTGCATATTCAGCACAATACATGCTTTAGTGCGATGAGCACTGGTCTATACTCAACAGTTTACTTTTGAATCATTTTATCTATACGAAATCCAAAATTAGATTTTTGGCTGGGTATGTTTTATATTCATTAAGTGTATTTTCATGAAAGTTTCATTATCTTATTGAAAATGTAATTTTATCACCCTGATTTTTATGTTTTAATTTGATTTTTCTAAAACAAACTATAAGACATACATTTATGATTACTATTTGATTCACAACGTATAAGTAAAAAAATCATAAGAAACCATTTTTATTTTACCGTTTCAGTATGGTTAGCTTTATATTTGCTAAGGAATTATGACGAAATCCTTCACCAGCCGTAATTCAAAGAATATTTGGTTAGTTCTTACTTAATGCTGTTCTATAGCTCTTACTTCACGTAAAAGATTTCGTCTCTTATACGAATGATTAACTGTTAATTAATCTTTTAAGGTTGAAACTTGTCTTAGATGCCTCTTAAGTTTGTATTAAAAGTTATGTGTGTTTAATTATTTATTATAAAGATACGCATATCCAATAAAACATTTTAATATTGTCTTACCTAAGACGTATGGTGTGCCCAAAATAGCAGGAACTGTAAAGCCTACCCCGACTCTAAAAAACGTCCAGGTGGCGAAGTCTTGAGCGAAGGCGGTGGCGATTCCGAAGAAACATTCTATAAATAGGTAAATGAAAAATGAAGGCCTCCGACCTAAACTGAAAAAAACAAACGATAACATGTTTTTTAATTTTTTTTAATTTTGAAATACACAAAAAAACAAAGAAATGTATATCCTTTAATGTATTTACAATACAATCGAACACAACTCAGATTATGATATACACAATGCTGCTTTTCAGATATTATTAAACATGATCAAACTACTATCATATAGCCAGCAACTAAAAAGTAATAGATTTAGAACAAGAATGGTTGTTTATTGAATTAAATTTATATTCCAATTAAATGTGAATTGATATTTGTCATACAATAAGACTTCAGTGGTGTAATTTATATATTTCTTTGAAAATTTTATTGTAAAGTGACCAGAACGTCCTTTGTTTAGCAAGAACGATGAAAAAGGAAACACCTTAAGATATTAAGATATTAGATCGTGTAGGATGATGTTTATAGAAACTCAACTTATTCTAGTCAGCAAAACATCGAAAAGACCTTCCTTTGAGTTCCATTCCAAATAGAGTAAATGAAGACACCTTTGGTCCTCTTGGGGGTTGAATACATGGCTAATTACTTATACACTGCATTAGGCCCTATTCATCTACTGGTTATCTAAGTTCCATTAATTTAGTATACGAGAGATATTAAATTGATAATTATTTCAGTTTTTAAGAATTAAGTCATTCGGTTATTTAAATTTCAATGTTAAACATCTTTAAAGACTTATATTCACAGTAGCAGCATGAATTATATAAAAAGAAGACTCTATAAAGACTATATATATGATTTGTTATTCCACGTATCTTTTTTTATCTTGTTTATAACATTCCATATTATAACTTATAGCATATTTCTAATATAAATATTGCAAATCAGGTTCTGCTTGCACCCTGACAAACTAGCATTAAAGATATCCTCAGCTTGAACATTTTGAATAATAAAAATGTTGAGAGGAAAACACAACGAACGCTCCAATCTTGTAATTACGATTCAAATATGGGTCTATTGCTTTGTGGTTGTAAAAATATAAACAACATAGCTTATGTTACGGTCTTACCTGTCTTGCAGATATCCAAATATATAGTTCCCAATAAGGCCCCCAGCTCCTAACAAAACTAGTGCTAAAGTGCTATAAAAGTCTTTTTGGCACACCATGTCCCACTGAAACAAGGAAATACGAAGATTAATTATTATTGTGAATTTATTTACGATATTGTCAAACTATTGGCTATGAATAAAGGTCCTTAGAGTCAAAGGACGCTCCCTGTTTACAGTTAAGGACACAGATCTTCTAAGCTGGACAGCTGCGAAAACCTAGAAATTACAATTGGAAATGGTCTAAGTAATAATACCGGTTACCATGGATTTAATTCCAGACTCCCACTTTTCGTCCATCTCCTGTTACCGTAGTTAAAATTAAAATATTTTTAAGTGCGAAATATCTGTAGAGTTTGACGGTATATACTATTATCAGAACACAGCACATATTGGATCCTAATGGTCTCCTTAACGGATTTCTCTCTAAATTCCCAGTTATATTCACCATCGTGATCATTACAAATATTAACTTTTTTACCAAAACATCAGAAGGTAATCACACAAATCATTAGGTTTATTTAACTTATATTGATAAAGTAACTTTACAAAACCAGTTTTAAAACTGTTGTTCCAACAAAGCAATCTTGGGTTTGCCAGGAATTTTCAAATTTAGACATATATTAGGAAATGATATGTGGTCTTTGGGCAAAATGAATGTATAAAAAACTACGACACGCTATTCTATTCACCTACTTTGATGTACATTGCCATACTCAGGCCCAAATGACTTCTGTACAGTAATCCTAGCAAGTAAACAAGTTTCTGAGGGTTTTTTTGGAGGGGACGTTATAGGATTTCAGGCACTGTCATCCCTCCAAAACCACGAATAAATGGCCGCCGAAGCCTGTTCAAGAAGACACACAAACATGGTTTGTAGCATTAAACTAACCTCTGTCACTACAGTAGTGGCGTACTGGGAGTAGTCAAACGTCCAGCCATGTTTACAGCTAGTGACGTTTGTGTCCACTAGAGTGTGTTGACTGGAAGGTAGTGATCGCAGCTCACTGTAGTTTCGCACGTACATTGTACAATGACTGAATACTGGCTCGCCTTCTTTCCACTCCGCAGGAATACTAAAACAGTATATATTGGTTGTTATGGTTATGGAATGTCCAAAAATACTGAGATGGAATGGTAAAGCTAATTATTTCTCTTGGTACTCACATATTTGTACAACAATAACAAAAATAATTTTTTATTTTCTTAAAATATTCCGATAAAGTAAGCAGATGAAAATTATATATGGAACACTAAATGCTGTTGGGAAATCGAGATGGTCTAGGGGTAATGAAAGGGCTTAGTTTCTTGTGGTTCTAGGTTCAAACTCCCATTGGACAGTTTTTAGCTACGTGATAATTGTGCTTCGAGTCTGAGGTATGAAACGTTCTGACACATCGGGATTACAGAGTAGTACATATGACTACTGTTAGTCCTGCTAGATTGAAGAGTAGTACGTATGACTACTGTTAGTCCTGCTAGATTGAAGAGTAGTACGTATGACTACTGTTAGTCCTGCTAGATTGAAGAGTAGTACGTATGACTACTGTTAGTCCTGCTAGATTGAAGAGTAGTACGTATGACTACTGTTAGTCCTGCTAGATTGAAGAGTAGTACGTATGACTACTGTTAGTCCTGCTAGATTGAAGAGTAGTACATATGACTACTGTTAGTCCTGCTAGATTGAAGAGTAGTACGTATGACTGCTGCTAGTCGTACTAGATTGCTGAGTAGTAAACTGTTGTTAGTCCTACTAGATTGAAGAGTAGTGCATATGCCTACTGTTAGCCCTACTAGATTGCAGAGTAGTTCATATGACTGCTTTTAGTCCTACTAGATTGCAGAGTAGTACATATGATTACTGTTAGTCCTGCTAGATTGAAGAGTAGTGCATATGACTACTGTTAGTCGGTACTAGCTATGTACCGACAAATTAATTCAGATTTCGCTGGAATCTCAACACGTTATTTACTGTCCAATCAAGGTAGGATTGCCGGGTTGTGTTCAGGTTAACGACAACACATCCTTTCTGATCCTTCCGTGATCCTGTCTTAGCCTGGGTTTCTTGTGATCCTATCCTCATCACCCTGGTGCTACATATGCATGTTATCACTGTCTCATCTTTTGGCAGTTTATAACCTCTAACACTTAAAAGTCATCATTGATATATTTTTGGTGTTTTACAATATGGCACGGGTATTTTATTTTATAAAAACTATTTCCAATCTTATATATTAAGAACACTTTTACAAAACTTATGACAGCTAGCCTGACCATACTACTGGACCGATTTACACACAGGTTGTAATAAAAGAAAGGTTATCGGTCTTATATGTGCAGGTTTTATTTGTATTTTGAAAATATTTATGTTTGGGTCAAAAATGGAAATTCAACTTTTCTTATGGAGATTTGACATGGGGCCAAATGTTTAAGATTACTACAGCCAGACTGACCATACTACTGGACCGATTTACACTCGGATTATGCTAAAAGAAAGGTCCTATATGTGCAGGTGTCATTTGTATTTTGAGAATAATTATGTTAATAGGGTCAAAAATGGAAATTCAACTATTCTTATGGAGACAAATTATTTAACATGGGGCAAATTATCTATATAATAATAGGCAAGCATGTTTATTTAACATCTTTTTTCTCGGCTCCTGTTCATTGCAGGAAAAACCTACGCATAATGTTAGAAAGATATTTGCCTGTAGATGTGCAGAATCCCCTTATAAATTAAAATAGGCTAAATAATAAGCAAAAATTATGATTTTAAAACTAAAAAAGATTAACATTGGCCTTATGGGTTGTCATGTTGGTGATGAAAAAACAACAAAATATTAACAGAAAATCAAAACAAATTGAAGAAATTTCAATAAAATGTTTTATTTAAAGCTTGGGGTGAAAATTTATTTATAATCCCTAGATATATCTAATACGAAGGATATATTTCTTAAAACAAAACAAAACAACCTAAAACAACCCAAGAAAAATGTAAACCAGGGCTGGGAAGGAAAACAAAGGTAATTAAAATACATGGTAATCATGTAAAAAGCCAAGCCAACGTGTTAGCTCTCTACCAACGCTATGGATGAGGAATTAATATTCCTCATTAAATTCATACGACTCTTGATAATTATTATTTTTACGATATTATTGTTTAGTTCATGTTCACCTACATGTATTTGAGGAAAAGCACGAATGTTTGTTAGATAAAACAATTGGTCTTTTGAAACTTACCATTAACACAAGTTCCACTAACATTTTTACGTGGGTTGAACATTTAAATAGAATGAAAGAACACACCTTTTATATATTGATTTATGCCATGAATATTAAAAATAATATGGTTTAAATCAATCCGATATTCCCTGTCCACCTATCTTGTAATGTCAGCTTAGGTATTTAATTAGACATATTGAAAGAAACTTATGATTAACGCATTCAATAATAAATAATGAAATGCACAGGACGAAAACAAGAGAGTTCAAGTATTAAGCATGTGAGTATACAGTATAATAACAGATATAAATACAATTCGATTGATGGGCTGCCGTTATATTTGTTGTGTTTTAAGACACCGTCTACTAAAACCCCTCAACACCCACCCTAAACGAATTTGCTGAAAATTGCCACATACAAATTCGAATGAATAATTTAAACATGCATTTTAATATTGACCCTTTGAAACACTCTCTTGATTATTTTTCTAAATATCGTACATACATACATGTATATCTGACGTGCTCGATTATGTTGTATCATCTTATCTCACAATCTTTTAGACAGAATAGTAAGGGCTGATATCCTCTCATTGATAGGGGCTTTTTACTGATATTTTCCAATTACGAGTAAGGTTATCTCAATTTTAAATATAAACTAGCTCTAGATTTATATACCTAAAGTATCTAGTGACATATCTAGATTATTGTGACTTACATATTTTGACTTAAAAAATATTTCGTTCCTAATGAGTATCTCGTTATTTAGGGATTCTGAGGTTTATAGCCTTATTAAGAAAAGCTTTTTTTATTTACTTATAATAAGCAAGAAAAATAAAATATTTTCATGTAAGTTAAGTTAACGATTTTCACTCGTATCGTAGCAACAGACAAATTAACCCACTCCTTAACAGAATAAAAATATATAAAAAAATTGAGCTTGATTAAAACTAGCAAACATTTTTTATTAACTCTTAACTAATTTGTTATTTCCTTAGAAAACTAGTTCTGAAGAATGTATAGCTATAATTATTGTTATTCAAAAAACCTAAACGAAAAAGTCAAAATTGAAAGCAAGAAACGTTACAGGGAATATCGTTTCAATTATAGCCTCCGATTAGTTCTAATGGATTTTCGTTGAGTTCCATTGCGTTGGTATTGGTGGTTAAATTCATTATTGTTATACGTTTTTCAGTAACATTCTGAAGAGGAAATGGACTGGCATGTTTGGATCCATCATATTTGCCCGCTTTTATACATCACTTCCCACAAAACTAGTACTTCAGTAAACATATTGTTATACTATAACAATCCTAATATGCTATGTCTTACACGGGTTTCTTTTACACAATTGTTTGTTAAAATGTAAAATTTATTTGTCATAATCAAATATAAATTTCAAAAAGAATACTGTTAAAGAAAAACATGAGTGTTATACTCTAATCAACAATAGACACAAGTTCAATATATACAGTATAAATAGACTAGTTTGTATTAATTGAAAGAATTTTGTTTTATATAACAAACTGTCTATAACAATATATGGGTTTTTATTATGGCAGAAACAGGAAAGATAAAACATTGACGTGTTATTCCAATCACCCCCTGGAATAAATAACGAATGCTTTTATAATTGAAATTCAATTTGAAATGAAAGACTAAACTCAAGGATTTTTAACTCTGTCTCTCGGTTAAATACCCTTTTTTAGTTGATACTGTCTGCGGGGTAATCAATTTGTTCACCTCGATTTGATTTAGATATTAAGTTAAATTAAAATGATTTGTTGGGATAATGTGATCATTTTGCGAATAATGAATCAAATCGTGTTGAAATTCAAGAAAATATTTGAACAGCGTGGATTCAAATCGGTATTAAATTATGTTAACAGCTGATCTATTCTTGTAGCTACAAAATCATTCAATCAAAAACTTGCCAACAATAATTTGAATTCTTTCGCAAAATTACTAGCATATCATGATTGTTTATTTTAATTTTTTGTTCACCACACCAGTGACAATTACTCAATATTCACTCCTCTATACTTTTCAACCCTGGAACTCCTATTTTATTTTATTGTCTACATGAGATTAGAAAAATTATATACATAAGAGATGAGAACAAAAAAAAATTGAAACATTGAAAAATTTACACCTTCAGACATTTTGGTTGACTACAACACCACATTTTTCGTATACACTTTGGGGTGTGATAAAACATAGTGAAGTAAAACTTAAAGTCGTTCTTATTTTGTGTCTTCTTACTAGTTTATTCAGAATAATAAGCATAATGATCTTACTTAATTTATCAGATTTTAAGTTAAAATTTGTTAACACAGAACACCAAATATCTAAGCTCTGCGTTATTGAGGATTTTATTTATATACTAATCAGATTAATCATGAAGAAAATATCACATGATAAAATACTTACGCCTTTTAATAGTTTTTGTGCCACGATACAAATATTTAACGGCCATCAACACAATCCAAACGACCACAAAAACATTAAATCTTGTAATTTAACAATATTTTGCTTAAATTAAAATTCAAATACCCTATTTAAAAGATAAAATTAAAAAGTACAAGACAGTTAAGGATATTTTATGTGGAAGAAATTCCCTTCAGTCTTAGCAATTCCCTTTTCAATTTTCTTTAACCGACGAAAGATTGATGCTTTCAACACTTATTCATACCATACTACTCATCACCAATCAAAAAAACTCCATAAAGCTTCCAAACCATCTATGGAAGTATATATGGTTGGAAGTATATGTATGTGTAAGAAAATTGTAATACATTAATGTATAAACTTATAATAAGTTTTCAAAATATACATGAATGTGAACTAACTTTATC